GTGACGCTGGGTCTTTCATTGTCCGTCTCTCCAAGGGGCTGAAGGGCCATCGCTGTCCTGAAGAATGGCCTCAGAGCCTCAAAGCTGGAGATTATACCAAAGAAAAGACAAACAGGTGAGCAGGGATGGGAATCTCTGCACACGTCATTCATTTTGATAAAAAAAAAAAGAAAAAAGAACTGGTACTATAAAGCCATTTCTCAATACATTTTAGAGCTAAAGCTGATGAGAAGACGGAGCACCACCTAAATCCCTTAAAAGTCCTCCACTGTGTGGATGAGCTGATGGCAGAGGACAGCATCATTGTAGCAGATGGTGGGGATTTTGTAGGCAGTGCTGCTTATATAATGAGACCAAGAGGACCTCTGCGTTGGTTAGATCCAGGTAATACCTCAGCTAATTAAAGTAGGGGGGCAGGGGGTTTATTTGATGCTAACAAAAGCAGGAAAAATACAGTAAGTTCTTCCAGTTAGTTATTATTTATTGCCCAACTGTGCTCCTGGCCGACCAGTAGCTATGTTTTGTTTTTTCTGAATCTCTTGGATCCTTGCAGGAGCCTTTGGGACTCTGGGAGTTGGGGGAGGTTTTGCTTTGGGAGCAAAATTATGTCGTCCTGAATCTGAGGTATGATGATTACACTGGATGTGTATTTATTTAAACTTTTACTTTTCAACCCTGATGCAAAGACATGGTGATTTCTGCATGATGTGCAGGTGTGGATAGTATATGGAGACGGCTCCCTGGGCTACAGTGTTGCAGAGTATGACACGTTTACACGGCACAAGGTATGAATCTTTCACGCAGTAATAGACACAATTATTCATTGGATTAAAGAATGGGTCACACCTTTTTCTTTAGCAGCAATGAGGCATAAAGTACCGAACCGACTAAATCCTATTTTGCATCCAATCCTACAGAAAATTGTTTTTGATGAGGTCATGGCTTTTAACACTCATTGAGAGTCAGTAGGAGTAAACACAGTGGACCTCAGGTCTATTTTAATCAGACTATGCAGCAATTCAGTGGGAATTTCATGGGTCTGACAGGAGGAGAGACGTGGTTACAAAGTAAATGCATCTGCTTTGTGGGAAAATAAAAGCAAAAGAAAAAACAAACAAGGGGCAGACAGTGAAGGTAAACACAGATTATCACGCTCCCTCTTTATGTCTGGTACCAACTACTGTTAATAGCTGCTGTCCCCTGCTGGTCGGACTTCTGTGAAGAATAACTTCAACTAATAACGTTTGTAGCAAAGCTCTTCATGTATAGGCTAACAAACAAACTAGCCGTCTAGAGTAATTACTAGGCTACACTGCTCTGTTTTTAAAATAACAACAAAATAAACCTGAATATTAAATTGAATGGACCATATGCTCAACTCCACTACTTCCTGAACTTCAAACAGCTCGTTTGTTTCCTGTCTTTGATTATTGGACAGACTGATTAAGCGAGGTTTGTCTAGTCAATGTCACCATGGTAACTGAGGTCAAATGCTGTAAACAAAGAATCCTTTCAGAAATTTAAATGACTGTTTCTTTAAATTAATTTACAAATTTCAAAGTAAGAGAAAATAAAAGTCTAAATCGAATCAATATTTGGTGTCACTACCTTTTGTCCTTAAACCAGCGTTGATTCTTATAGGTATACTTGTAGGATTATATTCAGGTGTGTAATGAACCAACTATACCAAACGGGTGCTAATAATTATCAATATCATAGAAACATTGAACTGAAACAGAAACAGCCGTGTAGGAGGCTTAAAGTCACAGGGAAATCGTATTTAAATGTCAAATCATTCTAGCTTAAATATGCACAAGGATTGCACAAGGGTTTTTTAATCATCAATTAGCCTTCTGACCCAATGAGCAAACACATTGTACCATTAGAACACTGGAGTGATAGTTGCTGGAAATGGGCCTCTATACACCTTTGTAGATATTGCACTGAAAACCAGACATTTGCAGCTAGAATAGTCATTTAGCATATTAGCAATGTATATAGTGTATTTCAATGTGACCCCAAACTTTTGAACAGTAGTGTAAAATGGCAGTATTTACTTTCTTATTATTCACTCCAAAAATATATCTTTTAGAAGGTCAGGTCAATTTTCAGCTTCTGTGGTGCCGACGTAAATATGGACTAACGTTTTAACTTAACCTGTGTTTTCATAAGTTAAAAGGGAAGATGGTGTTAAGATGTGTAATTTGAAACAACCCAAAGCTGTTGGATCCATGGCAGAAATTTTTAAGTAACATAATAACTCGCCTATGGGTGAGACCAGAGGGTGGAGCTCAGCATGCAGACCGTTTCATCTTTTACACAGCTGCTCTGTCAGCGATTTTAAACTTTATGACGTTCCTTTTTTTTAACTATGCGGTTGTGATTTGTGTGACTTGAGAAATGTTGAGCATGTGGCTAAGGAACACATTGGCGAGCTCCACCCAGATGTTTCCAAATGGATGCATTTCGCCTCTGACAAAGGCAAAATATAATGAAGCGTTAGTCTGAGAAGTTTGAATAAAAAACAACCTTGATGCGTGATCTCCAGCTCTATGCTGTGTCCTCAGAGTTCCACAACCTTCCGCCATCAGGCAACCGATTTAGTTGTCCCTAATTAGAAGCTTTTGTCAGAAAATCCTCATTTCACTGGAAGAAATAAACGCATGTTATCTTTATTAATCCAAACAACCCAAAACTTGTTGAACATTATTCAAGGCTGATGAAGCTCATATTTTTATGTCATGTTGTCATTTCAATGTTTTTTTTACTTGATTTTTTTCCTCTCCAGACGCCAGTTATATCTGTGGTTGGGAACGATGCGTGTTGGAGTCAGATATCCAGAGAGCAGGTCCCCATCCTTGGCAGTAATGTTGCATGTGGCCTTGCTTTCACAGGTACATTTTGGCCACTGTCATGTCCATCTTGGTAAATCCACAATATTGCATTGCCCATCGCTACATGACAGCTACATAGTGAAATGTATGATCTTTGCTTATCTTGCAGATTATCACATAGTGGCCGATGGCTATGGCGGTAAGGGCTACCTTGTTGGACGGGAAAACGAGGACCAGCTAACGAGCCTCATCAAACAGGCTCAAAAGGACGCCAAAGAGGGCAAGGCTGCACTTCTCAATGTTTTGATTGGGAAGACTAATTTCAGAGAAGGCTCCATCTCTGTGTAGAGCCTCTAAGTATAGAAGGCCGTCAGATAATCTTTGTATTTTAACTTTGGATTCCATACATTTTACTCTGATCAATGAGGGATTTCAAATTAATTTGGAATTGCACTAATTTAGCTAAGTCTACTTCAAAGCTTTGATCATCCTTTTTAGACTTTGAAGCCATATTTTAATTTAAGAGGGAACATTTTTGACGGTTAGTTTTATTAAGTTGTTTTCTTTTTACAATCAATATATTGCGAATAATGACTCACTCCAGAACTGAAATAGAAGAATCTGTCGGTCATGCTTACAATGCTGCAAAACGCAAAAGGGAAATGGCGACTACTCAGACATGTCTGTTCTATTTAGAGACATTGCCACTTTAGATTTCTGACCTTTTTAAGTTCAGTAAGAAAGAAGCTACAGGAATTGCCTGTGAGAGTGAAAAATGTACTTGATTTATCCTAAGTGACCTGTATGTGTTTATCTACTGTTTGGAGATGAACGGTGGGCCTTTGACGGACATTCAGATGTGGTAAAGATGTAACTTTCAGTTTCAGTCATGCTTTGAAAAACGGAATTAATTGACCTACAAAATTGTCTGTGAATGTTGTTGCCCAACAAAAGGTTTGACCTTCTGAGTTTGATTGTATCCTCATATACATTGCTATGTATAGACTGAAGAGTGAACCAGTGAGACATTAAAGATTTATTCAGTACTGATTCTTTGGACATTATTTGTTTTCCTTTTAAAGTTGCTTTAAACCAAAAGGTAAAATCTTTGCGCTATATAGATTAAATCTTTGGATAATTCCCTTTCTGTGTGCAGTGTTATGATTTTGGATTGTTTCTTTTTGGTAAGTCAACGTGTTAGAAAAATCTTTTTCTAAAGTTGAGGTCTTAAGTGGGGAAAGCAAATGTTATGTTAAAAAAATAGCAGGACTTTTATGCCTCGCAGTACGTCTGGTGGAGGTCTAGTGAACTTGGATTGCTGTGATTGATGGCTGTACAGTCATCACAGCAGATACCTGCCCACTAAATAGTTATTGTAGAAAAAAATGCATATAAAGTAGATTTAATCCTCTTTTTTTTCATTATCTTGAATGATTCTATATTTTTTTTTTCAAAGTGTAGAAGGGATTCAGTCAACCTTCTGCATGCAGTTTATTTTCTGAACAGCAGATGGCAGCGTAGTAGTGTTTGAGTTTTTTTGTAGCGTATTATGCTGACGTGGTGCTGTTCGTAAATTCTTGAGGGAATATATTGATTTCCTACGAGGCAAAAAGCCCGATTGTGAAACCTATCGTGTGGTGAATACATTTGCCAAATCTAATAAAGCGTTTTTGTTTTTTTTTTATCAACAAAAAATAACTTTGCTTTACTATAAACTGACATCATTGCCCAAACCTGCAGAGTGAAATGCTTTATTTTTAATCTACCATATTATCAACACGTTTAACAATGATTTTAATAAAGGGTAAACGTTTTTTTTTTACACCCAATAAATGTGTTCAAGGCATGCATCTTAAATGATGTAAGCACTTGGTTGTTGCGTTTAGACAAAACCATATGTTGTTGGGTCTCATGCTGCGTTCATATACATTTGGTAAAAGTTAGGGGTCTGATAAACCTTGAAATACAATAAAGCAGAGTAAGCCTTAAAATATGCAGTATGAGGAAATAAGTTGGGGAAGCTAATGATTTACATTGATCAGGAAGATTTCACTTTTTCAAGTTTTAAATACCGGATTTTGAAACAGTTACAACAGCGTAATAGAGATTTACTACAGCAAGTAAATGCGTCATTAAAACCGGTGCACATTAGCGCTCGCGGGCGGCCGTTAGACACCACACAGACAGGAGAGGAGCTGAGGGCGACTTTAACTGGAGATACACAACGGTTCCCATTAGGGAGAAGAAAAAACATGTTTTAGTTGGAAACAATGAAATAGACGCGAGTAGTTACCGTCAGAATGACCAGCAGCGGCGGAATAATTAACGTTTGACAACTTTGGATTTTTTTTTCTTACTTTAAAACGATAACAATCTCACAAGATAAAACAGCACTGCCTCCCTAACGCCGACCTTTATTTTTTAAGACTGTGGCGACTATTCATCGGGTTCAAATCAAGACCTTTAAAAGGGAAGAAAAACAAAAAACGCCACGAAGGCTGATCGATTCCTGAACTGCTTAAAGTGGATCAAATTCAACCTTCACTGTTTTTCATCTGAGCTTTAATTAAAAGAACCAAAACATCCGAACTGAGGCGAACACTGGAGTCACCTGGTGCAAGGTAAGTTACCTTTATACCTGCTTCTTTATTTAATCTTACTCAAAATGTTATATTATGTAAGACACGTCACAAACAAAATTCACCTTACTGCTGTTTGTTCCAGGAAATCTAAGGTGATTAAACCAGGTTTCTAAAATAAACATTGAATAAAGAAGCATTATTTAGAATAATATGAATTTGAAGCAAAACACTTTTGTTAAAAAGTAAAAAAATAAATAATAATTAGTGTTATAGTTTCCCATCAGGAAAGGAGTGTTTCTTAAAAGAATGAGTAAAACATTTCCTGTTTACAGGAAAGGACACTATTGGGTAAGAATTGTAAAGTTTTTAGTAGAGCATTTGTTTGATGAGGTGTCAGTGATGGTTTTATCTCTGATTCAACTTGTATAACATGTTCTCATTGTGCCATTACATCATAGCCATATTGTGTAGCAATAATGTTAAGAACTATTTGTTGGTTGTTTTATTTATTTATTATTATTGGTCATATGTTTATATTACTATTTTTCTATGTATTTATTACTGTTTTTCAAGGGTGCACTTTAAGAAATGAAATTGCCTAAAGCTGTTTTAAACGAAATTTCTTTTTGTATACACTTGTGTATGCAAACTGACAAAATTAATCTAAGTAAGTTTAGTTCATATCTGACATCCATGGTATGTTAAATAAGTCAAAAAGTGTCAGACACTCATTATAATGGATGAGAGGTAGAGTTAGGGCAACTGGTTTTATGTCAAATTATAATCACTGGAAAATGGGCACCATTTGAGGATTTATCAGTGCCATGCAGTTCATGATCAAATGAAAATATATATATATTCTTATTTTTTAAATTTTGTCTAAATATCTAAAATCTCTCCTCCAAGGCATTAAGAAACACAACTGAGGTTCAGACTAAAGATAGCCCAAAGCATCAGCTACAAACCCAAGAACTTTCTTACCCTCACCCTTACACGCAGTCCTCTTAACCACCATTTTTAAAGTGTCCATCAATTTTTTTTTTTTACTTGACAAAAAGGCAGGAAGTAATGCAAACACATACTTATGACTGCAGTTCTGAACATGTGTTCAAGTCCAGTGACTGTAAAAAAGACCAAGATGACGAAAAAAAACAGTCTTATTGCTTTAACATCCACTATACATAATATGGAAACATTTAGCAGATGCATTTATATACAATTTGTCTACTAAATAGGTTGTTTATCTTATAAAAGCAAAACGGAACTTATTTCCATGATTAATTTAGTATTAGCCTTTCAATTGTTTTGTGCGTTCACCTTGAAAGACAAGGGTCTTGTTCACGAATGAGGGGAAGATGGAGCAGGAGATCGATAGTCGGATTGGTGCGGCGTCTGCTGTGAAGCGGGCCCTGTACCGGTCTGTTGTGGTGAAGAGAGAGCTGAATCAAAAAGCAAAGCTCTCGATTTACCGGTCGATCTACATTCCTACTCTCATCTATTGTCATGAGCTTTGGGTCATGACCGAAAGAATGAGATCCTGGATACAAGCGGCTGAAATGAGTTTTCTCTGTAGTGTGTCTGGGCTCTCCCTTAGACATAGGGTGAGGAGCTCAATCATCTGGGGAGGACTCAGAGAAGAGCCGCTGCTTCTCTGCATCAAGAGGAGCCAGTTGAGGTGGCTTGGGCTGATTAGGCCTCCTGGACGTCTATCTGGTGAGCTGTTCCAGGCACGTCCCAAAGAGAGGAAGCCCAGGGGGAGACCCAGGACCCGCTGGAGGGACTATGTTTCTCAGCTGGCCTGGAAGTGCCTTGGGATTCCCCCCGAGGAGCTGGCCCAAGTGGCTGGGGAGAGGGACATCTCGGCCTCCCTACTGAAGCTGCCACCCGCGTGACCCGACCCCGGATAAGCGGAAGAAGATGGATGGATGGACCTTAAAAGACATCAGCATAGAAGAGAAAATGTAGATTCATATTGCTCTATTCGTGGTTATATATAGGGTAAATATTTAAGAGCCAAGAAATGAACCTTGTGGAACACCCTTAAAGATTTCTACCATTATTGATCTTATACTTTTGGTTTATATCTAGGAAATAATGTCAAAACCATCTACTTCCAGTAGGGGGGAAAAAAACTAATATTTGCATCAATTGAAGTTAAAATTCGAGTGATCAGCATCATCACAGAGTGGTGTTAACTAGTCATTGTTTAAATTGGCCACAGCTGCTCCTTTCCAGGATATTGACTGGTTGTTCATGTTTCTTAAAGGAGCTGAATGGCCTCTGTTGTAGCAGTGAAAACTGAGAAGCGACCTGCAGCTGATTCTCAGGATGCAGAGTCAAATGCTAAGAAGCCCAGGTAAGCTCAGGTGCACCTGCACATTGCTTCTATTACATATTCAAGATTTTTTTTTTTTTTTTAGCAGAACTGATTAAAATCTTTGCCAGGCCTAATTGAATTAAATGTAGGTTTTAGTTCCAAAAAGTGCATGCTGGCAGGCTTGAAAATGCTTTATTTAACCTTCATGCTGTCAGAGGGATTGGGGAAGCATCGTATTTGGAACCGTCATCACTCAATCTCTGCCTGCCCCAAAGGAAATTGCTGCCCAGCCTAAAGACCAAGCGTGCCCCCGAGCTTGTCCTGGTGATTGGCACGGGGGTGAGCTCTGCAGTAGCTCCCCAGGTTCCTGCTCTCCGCTCATGGAAAGGGCTCATCCAGGCCCTGCTTGATGCAGCCAACGACTTCGACCTGCTGGAGGAGGAAGAGAGCCGGCGTTTCCAGAAGCACATGCAGGAGGATAAGAATTTGGTGCATGTGGCCCATGACCTCATTCAGAAACTGTCTCCGGTAAGACTGTCTGAATCTCTTTCCTCTCCTTCCTTTGCTAAATCTCTATTCTCTACAAACACAACCCCCTTGTATCACTGCAGACAATGCTGCTGAAGCACGGGAATTCTGTTATTACTTCCATGGATAAACATACAGATATTGGGTCCCTACTTTTTAAAGAACTGTATCTGACTACACAAGGCTCAGATGCTAGTCTCCTTTAAATAAATATTATTAATCATATCAGAGATAAGAGCCATGAGTATTGGTCTTATTAGGATAGGATGATTCATTAGTCCAAATATGACTAGCTTAACACACAAACATTATTCTGAAAGAATTTACTTGAATGAAAATGAAAATGTCCAAAAAGCAATGTTTGAAATGACTTTTAGAAACCTAGAAAAAATATATCGAGATGAGTATAAGATTGTAAGTCTGGCTGGGAAGAAAGTAAAAATTATTAGGAGATGTAAAGGGATCAAGGATGTAGAGCATGTTGCTTTGTGTTAGGGCCCGGCAATTAATTGCATTTACAATATAATGGCAACTGAATAAAAATAAAATTTTCAAATCGCAGATGCTCTCAATTTTGGTCACATTACAATTAAAGGTATTCTGGAGGATTTGCGCACATTTTTTAAAGACCCGCCCTCTCCGCACGTGCGAGAGCATGCAGCAGCCCGTTTTTCCTCATGCACGCTCTGCTTAAAGGTTGCTGTTCTCATAGCTCATACAAGTTTACTGTATCTGAACAGCAGCCCTAACCCCTAAATCCCTCAATCACTATATGGAGTGGAGACTGTATAGTGGACTTTATGGCGAACTCGGTTAACTGACCATTTGGACAGATGATCAATACTTTTTGCTCCCCATTGGTCACATAACTCTTCCTACTCTGTGTGGTGCCTGCCCCATCTTTTTTATTAGTCAATAAGCTGGGTAGCGACCGCGGGCCGCTGTGACAGCAAATCCCATAATGCTTTGTGCGGAGAGCTCTCCATGCAAAGCAGACTGAGATATATCTGCCTCTTCTGAGGCCTTTCTTTTCTTCTCATACACTTCGTAGACACTTTTTCTCTTGCGACCCTCTTTGAGCTTCAATGACTGAAAGCGTAGCTCACCACACATATATGCCTGAAAGTGCGGATGCTCCGAAAAAGATAGCTAACGGGACGAGCACTTAGGACAGCCTTATGTAAACATATCAGCAGAATGATTGACAATTAGGAGGACCACTTATTTTGATGATCCACCCAGGAGTGAAAGACGTTCCTCTATATCTTTAAGTAGTTTCACTCCAGCCCTTTAGGTGGCAGTAATAGGCTTAAAGTGGGATTGCTGCCACACAGAGGGGCCCTTTTTACAAGGATTTACAGTTAAATCGTGCAGCAATGGACAAGCAAGTGGTTAGTGCAAAATAAAATTGAAATAAAATCACAAGATTCATTGAAAATTTAGATTTTTGTCAAAATGGTTTAGTACTAGTTCATGACAGCACTATCTTGTTTGTAGTTTATGTTTGTTTTTTCTTGTATAAAAATATGTAATCTTAATGTTCGACTTATGTCTCCTGCTCAGACAATAATCATACCAAAAATATTTAAGCTGCAGTGTTACATCTTTAGTAAAACTGTGGCGGAGTATTTGTACACACAGAGAAAATCTTTATAGAAGGTGCCAAGTGCTTTTTATGTTCAGTTGAGCGAGCAACTTTTTTTTTTTTTTTGCATGTGTTTTTTTTTTTTTTTACAAATATGCTGATCATAGAATAATGAGTGAACATTATGAGTGGAGGATATATTGACAATAATACTTACCAAGTATACCAGACCAAAAGAAATTCATCAAACCTGAAACTCATTGCAGGTTGTTGTTTGTTTTGCCCTTTTTTTATTATGTTTGAAAGTCACATGCAAACTCATTAACAAAACAATTATTTTTATTGTTGTGCATTTGTAAACGTATTTGGACTGTCAGAAATAATAACAAGGGGATAATAAAAAAGACAAAAAATATAAATGATATAAAATACCACAAAATATGAAAAAGTTGCCTTTGTCTGCTGATTGACAAAAGAGCAGATTATGCTCTAAAAATCTGGAATGCTGAAACACAGCAAATCAAGGTAGAAGTTTAAGAATTTAATAAAACATAGCTATGTATATAGGAAAGTTATTTTTTATTAAACTCCATTAACTGCAGGCTCTTTTTTTGCTACACATGCCACAACTTTTTAAGGTCTTTTTTTTTTTTTGTTTTGGTTTAATTTTTTAAAGATTTTCTGTCGTCCGGCTGCATTAAGTTTTGCCTGTGCGGATGTTTTTTCCTTATTATTAACATTCTACTTTTGTTGTTTCCGACAGCCCAGATATATTTACATGCACAGAATCTCTCTATTCTAATCACTTTGTGGCAGCAATGACCACAGATATTTTTGCATGTCATTTTGCCCCTTACTTTCCGAAGTAATAAAAGGTGCAAGACTGCAGCCGCGGTTTATTTTCCGATTCGGAAAATCGCTTTGCGCCTGGTAAATTCTGACATTTACGCATCGTCCATGAATTTGCACAGTTTTTAAATTAGAAACACACAACAAAATTTTTGCACATGCTGTCTGCTGAGTTGCAAATGCAGAACTCTTTGCACCTTCTTTGAAGATCAGCTCTGTTCGTACAAACAGGTTTTCGCTCGTTTTAAGATGTACAGCCGTTCTAAAGATCAGGCCCATTATGATGTGCTTTGGCAATGAAAATTAGGGAGCGGCTGAAGGGAGACAAACAAACTAAAGAACATCCATCACTAAAGTGACATTGAGGAAGGGCGGGCTTGACAAGGCAGATATTTTTCCTCGATGTTCTTTAAAAGGCTCTGCATGAAGGAATCTGTTCATTATTTTTGGGTGGAACCTAACCGCTCTGCACGTCTTATCTTTTACGCAAGCAGTTTTTGGAGATCACCAACTGGCCCACTTACTACATGCAAGTTTTCATTTTTTCTGTTTTTCTTTTTGCCTACACAGTTTAGCACTCCTTATCCAGAACCCTTGAAGATCAATTGCATTGTGTTTTATCTAGACAAAACCAAAGCTAATTTCTACACAAACATGTCATCAACATCACAGCAGTTGATGCAAGCGTCTGTTATATTTTCATTGGATGGGTCTTTATTTCTTAAAAAATACCGTATTTTCAC